GCCGCACGGGCCTCTGCTCCCCGGAGGACAACTCGCTGACGCCTTTGCTAGATGAGGTGGTGGCTCCCGAGGGCCGGGCGGCCACAGTGCCCCGGGGGCGCGGCCGCAGCCGTGGGGACAGTTCCCGGAGCAGCGCCAGTGAGCTGCGGCGCGACTCCCTCACCAGCCCTGAAGATGAGCTGGGCGCAGAGGTGGGCGATGAGACGGGCGACAAGAAGAGCCCTTGGCAGCGACGAGAGGAGCGGCCACTTATGGTATTCAACGTCAAGTAGCGCCCCCACTCTGCCAACCCTGTTTACGAGCCTGACCCCAGGGTGCGAGGCCTGGGGTGCTGCGGGAGCCACCTACTCTTTAGTCCCAGTCCCCGACCTGAAAAGGTGCCCAGGGATCTGCGGAGCTGTCCAGTGATGTATGCTGGGTAATGTCTGGGAGGGACCCCAGTGGGCCTCCAGGCAAGGGAGGTGGGAGGGGTCTGGACCCCCATCGGGAGGTGCTGGGAGGAGGGCTGGGTGGGGGGAAGCAGTGCCTGTATAGACGTGGCTGTACATAGAAAGCTCTATGTGGGGGAGCAGGAGGGGCAATGGGCCCCGCCCCGCCACTGTGTGAGGGCTGGGAAGGGAGGGGACATTCCCTGTGGACCCCTGGGAGGGGAGGGGTGCCGCTTGCTGACTAGCTGGGCTGCAGTGTCACAGGGCTGGTGGCAGGGGCAGTTCTTGGGACTAGGGAGGAATGTGACGGGGCTGCTGTGGGCAACAAACAGCAAATACAAGTCTGGTGAGATGAACTCCGATGTGTCTTTCTGTGGGGGAGGGAGGGGGCCTCTGGCCAAATCAGACACTGTTAAGAAAGTGTACAAACTTTATTGGAGTATATGCGCGCGCACACACACCCACACACCCACACACACACACCCCGGTGAATGGGGGGCAGCACCTGGCCACATAGTCCATGGAAATGAGGGGGGGGGGGTGGCAGCTTTTCAGGCGGCTTTTACCATAAGTTCCCCTTTTCAGATGAGAGGTCTTTAGTTGAAGCCCCACTTCCTGGGGGGGTAGGGGGGAGAGACCCCAGACTGGAAGAGGGTCAGGGAGAATTCAGTGGGAGAGGTGCTTCTCAGGCCTGAGCAATGAACCCCCTTTGAGTAGGGCCACCTGGTGGTGTGTCTTCAGTTCTTAGTCCTCCTCACAGCAGCTGTCTCTGTGGTGGGCTCCTCCTGGGAATGTCCCAGGACAGGCTCTCCCTGGGCAAACACTTGGTGCCCCTGGACCCACAGCGGAAGCCAGAGGGACAGCAGTGACGCTTATCAGCACAACAGATGCCCTGGAGGGTCATAAGGGGATGAGAGAGTTAGACGCAGTAGGACCTGGCCCCTACCCAGCCCCAGGGTGGGGATGGTACCGACCTGGCGGTAGGGACAGCAGGCCCAGCCCCCACGGCTGTCTCGACAGCAGGTCTGGTTATCATGGCAGAAGTGGCTGTCCCCACACGCCACGTCCCCTGCGTCCACGTGAGGGGTATGGGGCGAGTCGGGGGCGAGCTGGGCAGAGCCCACCTCCTTCTCACAGGTGCGGGCCTTCACATTGCAGGTGTACCCGGTCGGGCAGCAATGCTGCCTGTCCTCACAGCACACGGCCTGGGGGATTCAGAGAGAAGGGTGGGCACAATGGAAATACACTTCCCTCTCACCCGCCGTCCCCCAGGGGCAAGTGGCACTCACGTGGGGCAACTGGCAGCAGGCCCAGCCCTTGCTCAGGCTTGGGCAGCAAGTCTGTCCCACGGGGCAGCTGGTGTGCTGGTCACAGGTGGTGTCTGTGAGATGGGAGAGGGAGGCCCGGCGAGCAGGCGTCTTCTTCAGTGCAGCCACTAGCCTGTCCCCCATCTGACACTGCCCCTCATCTGTGCACGTGTAGCCGTGGGGGCAGCAGTGCTTGTGGTCTTGGCAGCAGACAGCCTGAGGGTGAGCAGAAGATTGGAGTCTAGGGTGCTGCTGGGAAGAGCAGAGTGGTGGGTCTCCACTCATCCCACCGCCTCAACATCAGAATGAATATGACAGAACTGGCATGCCACCTTGGGGCATGAAGGGCAGAAGGGCAAAGCAACAGGAGCCTGGCTAACTGCCCAGACCAAGACACTGCCCCCCACCCACCCATGCACCTCTGGGGCAGGACAGCAACCCCACTCCCCAGACAAGAGGAGGCAGCAAGTGTTGTCAGGAGGGCAGCTGGTGACGTTGTCGCAGGGGACATCACTGCCCAAGGCTTGGGAGTCTGGCAGGCTGAAGTGGGCTGGGGTCTTCTTCATCCAGGGCACCTGGCGGTTCCCCTCCTCACACACTCCTTTCTCTGTGTCACATCTAAAGCCCTCTGGGCAGCAGTGTATATGGTCCTCACAGCACACAGCCTAGAGGGAAGGAGAGGCGCCAGTGGGCACAGGGGCCTAGCAGGCTGCCACTCTCTGCTTGGCAACCCCCCACCATTCCTGGGTACCTGGGTGAAAGGGCAGCAGCCCCACTTCCCTGTACTCAGGCGGCAGCAGGTGTAGCTATCTGGGCAGCTCACCTCCGAGTCACACTTCACCTCTTTCACTGTGGACAGATCAGCATTGGCATTGGGGACCTGTGCTAGCTGGCTCCACAAATGAACCCAGTTAACGAGCAGAGGGCCCGCTCATACCACCCAACAGTGCAGAGGAGAAGGGCTTGACCCCCTCCACATTACTATGAGCACATCCCCCCTTCCACTTCCGGGACAGCTTAGGGGAGCCTCTTGGGGTGAGTGGAATGGGGGCTGGGCCTACCGCTGGTACCTGTATGTGCCGGCAGCTTGACGAGGAGACTGGTGGCCTTCTCCTTGGAGAGGCACTTACTCTGGATCAGATCACACACGGTGTCCTGAGGACAGCAGTGCAGGTGGTCGGAGCAGCAAATGGCCTGGGTGCAGACAGGGCGGGTGGGTCCTTCCACTCCTCTTTGACTTGGCTTCTTGAACTAGCCAGGCTGGCAGCTGGCAGTACCTCAATCCCCCACTAGGGGGTGGCATGAGTCCTGAGTCAGCCCAAACCCTCCCAGCCAGCCTCCTGCCCTGGAGCCAGATAGCTGTGCCCCTCACTCACATTGGGCATTGGACAGCAGCCATACTTCCCGCTGGGCAGCTCGCAGCAGGTGGAACCATCAGGGCACTGGGACTGTCCATCAGGGCATATGACAGCGGTGGGCAAAGCCACTGAAAAGGGAAAGTGGGTGGAGACAGTGAAAGAACCACCAGATAAGGCCTCTGCTTACTCCCAACTCCCAACCTGATGCTCTCCCACCCCTTTGCTAGTTGTCCTCAGATCAATTCTGACCCGTAGCAACCTTATAATAGGACAGAGTGGACCTGTCCCGCAGTTCACTAGGCTGTGATCTAATCTCCAGAGAGGCAGACCACAGCTTTCTCCTCGAACTGCTGAGCTTTCATTAGCATTGGAGCACTTAACCATTGTGCCACCAAGGCTTCTTTCCCACCCCCTTACCGGCCCTATTAATCTTCTGTGCAGGGGTCTTCTTGGCCAGGGGGTAAGTGCCCTTGGAGGAGTGGCAGCGGGCCTGAGCGAGGTCACAGGTGGCACCATGGGGACAGCAGTGCACCTTGTCTTCACAGCAGGAAGCCTGAGAAGAGGCAGTCCTGATTCGTCTGGCCACCCCCTCCCCCCAGTGGTCCTTGATCTGCCCTGGTGCTCGCTAGCTCCATCTCCCCACTTCCATACCTGGGGCATAGGGCAGCAACCCCAGGAGCCATCACGCATAGTGCAGCACGTAGAGGAGCTGGGGCATTCGAACTGGCTATTGGGGCACTGGATGGCACCCAAGGGGTTGGCATCTGTGAACAGCAAAGTCATTGCCCCCATTATTCAAAGAGCTAGTGACATCAGGGCCTGCAGACAAACCACAGAGGAGTTAAAGGATTGGCACTAAGAATCAGTGACCTCCTGGCTACCTCCAGTCCATTCCCCCCACAAGCCAGTTCCTCCCCCAACAAGATGGCACAGAGCAGGAGCCACACTAGCCAGTATGTGTGTTAAGTCAGCACGCTTAACCTTTATCCATTCCTGCGAGGGTCTCAGAGTCCTGGACAACTCCTGGCCCTCCTGCCCCAGTGATATCCCTCTTTGCAAAGCAGAGTTGCTCAGGGAAAACCCCACATGAATAAAAGGAAAGGGATTGAAATTAGGGTCATTCAGGTGGCAGGGCTCCTGGGTCCTCTAGCATGGCTCCTGTCTGGCCCCCTGCAGTCCCAGCCCTGCTGCACCTGGTTTGTGAAGACAGGACTGCCCATCAGCACTGCAGCGGAAGCCCTGGGGGCAGCAATGGCGTCCATCCCTGCAAGACACGGCCTATGGGGCAAAGAGAAGCCTGTGTTGGCAAGGCTCTTTTCCATGGGTGGGAAAGACAGAGGCAGGCCTCAGCCTGTCCCGCGTCAGTCACACCCTCACCTCTGGTAACGGGCAGCAGCGGGAGATTCCTATGACAGTGAGGAGGCAAGAGGAGCCAGTTGAACAGTGGGCATCGGTCTTGCAGAACGTGCCCAGAAGCCTGCTCCGTACTGTGGCCAGAGCGGGCCACTTGTCCTGAGAAGAGAGGGAAGGGGATAACATGGAAGGGCCCTGCCTGGCGTCCTCCTCAGGCCAGTCCGGGGAGACCCTCTGGGGAGACGCTTTGGGGAAGCTGTGGAGTGCTCACCAAAATGGAGTTGTTGCAACAGCTGTAGCCATTTCCTCCTGGATCCAGGCAGCAGGCCACTGGGCAGAACTGACCATCTGGGCACTGTGTTCCGGCCACCAGACCTGCCACCAAGGCCACCCAGCCTACTAGGGTCCACATGGTCTGCCTGCAAGATACCAAGCAGCGCTGACAATTAGCTTAGGCCATGTCACCCTTGATTTGGAAGCCCCTCATTCACCTAGGCCCAGGCCTACTTGAGCCTCTTCAACAACTCCCTGTCTCAAAGCCAAATGCCAAACCCAATGTCATCAAATCTATTCCTACTCACAGATCCCATAGAACAGAGAACTGCCACATAGGGTTTCCAAGACTGTAAATCTACAGAAATATATTGCTATATCCTTCTTCCTCCTGTGGAGCAGCTAGTAGATTTGAACCAGCAACCTTTTTGTTAGTAGCTGGCTGTTTTAATCACTGCATCCCCAGGTCTCCTGATTCTGCTTCCAAATGTCTCCTGTGTGTTAGTCACATACACTAGGATCAGCATCCTCATGAATATGAATGCTGACATGAAGACATGTATAAATCTGTGTCCTCAATGTGGCCTAGTTTCTGAAACCCCAAGTTTCTGTGGGTGCATGTGGAGAGACATAGGCATGTGACAGTTGGGAGCACGAGTGGTTTCTGTGGCTCTGATCTGTGAGGACTTGAGTGGGGTGAGGTGGGCGTCAGAAACCACAGGAGAGAAAAGGGGTGGGGTGGCAGGAGGGAGTAAGAGGGCCCCCCTTCTAGATGCCTCCTTCCATGGTGGTGAATGCACACATGCACCCCGACCCGTGGGGGCGGGGGGGTCACATGAGCCATGGGAAACCATGACGTTGAGAAAGTTGTGAAACGGAAGTGTGATAGAGAGTGGAATCTGAGTCTTCCCACAAGCTAGCTGACTGTCCCCTATACCCCACAGGGAGAGATGGGGGGGTGGAGGGGGAGCAGCTTTTGAGACATCTATTTGTTCTTGTTCTTTGAGGGTACCCAATCCAACAGAGACTCTTTAGATTCTCCAAATATATTAGCCCTCCACCCCTGCCTCTTCTCTACCCTAAGAGTTGAAACTCAACTACATGCAAAGAAGAGACTACATGTGACCCTCGAGGGCCTCCCTGCCCTCTGCCTGCTGATCTGAATCAGCAGGAGGAACTGAACCTCTCACTTCCTAAATAACTTCACCCCTCCTCCTCAGCTCAGCAGCTGGGCTAGAACATCCCACCCCATCCTCCTGGGAGTGTTCTCCAGCCCAGAGGATCAAAGACATCACTGCAGAGTGAGCCCTCTTCCAAATCCAGTTAGAACCCTCAATTGTATTTTATCAACAGATACCCAAAGTAACAATAACTCTCTAGTCAAACAAGAAAACTGAGGCTCAGCGATGCTGTAACATGCCCATCATACATCAAGTCAGGTGATGACGCCGTTTATTGGTCCTAGTTCATTTCACAGGTGGGACACAAGCAGTACCTGGGAATGGACCCGTCCCCAACGCTAGACTGGGGCCTCGGGTCCAGACAAAGTAAAGGGGATGAGGAAGGGGTACAATAAGGGAACAGGAACTTTGTGGAAACTGTACTTGGGTCCTAGACTAGGATTGTCACTAACAGACTTGAAAGATGAGCAGCTCAGGAAATCCGCTCAATCACTCCCTCATCCGGTTTTTGTCAGGGGCATCCTCCAGGATGAGGTGGCTATTTTTAGAAGAAATGAGGATGATGACTGGTACTAATACTGACCCTCTCCAGTCCCTCCTCCTCTCACCGCACTCGCCTAACCACCGCCAGCCCCTCGACCCACACCCCACCCCTGCAAAGCTTCTGCATAGGTCCAGCTGCTTCCTGGATCTCTCAGCAGCCTTCAGAGTCCTGGAGAAGCCTGTCGCACAAATCCACGATTATCCTGGACCACGGTAATTTATTAGTCTGTATCTTCCCCTCTGCGTATCCTGAGTATAGCTTATCTAGTGAGTCTCTGCAGAATGCACTCCACAGTGTAAGGGGAGGGGAGGAGTCCCTGAGGCTGTTCCTTAGTGGGCCGCCCCTCACCCCCAGCCCACACTTCGACAGAATGGACAGCAGTGTCCTCAAGCCCACAGGTCATCATCGTCCACTAGGGGGCAGCCCCCCTCAGCTCCGAGAGCAAGGAGAGAGGGAGATTCCCCAAAGACGAGCCACTCTATCTGCAACTGAAGAGGAAAAAGTGCCTGGAAGAGGCGGAAGCTAGTTCGTCCTAGTCTCCCGCCCCCTTCTCCACGAGAGGAAGAAAGAAAGAGCCAAACACAGCTCAGAAGCTCAAGTCACCCTCAAGGCCACCACCTAGGAGACCACCAAGGTCTCGGCGCCCGTCCCTGGGCCATCTGAGCCCCGGGACCAGGGCTGACACCCCCAGTAGCTGCAGAGACCACCTCCCAAAAGAGGAAGGAGCCGGCTCCTGTTAACACCGGTGGAGCGGGCTCCAGAATGGAGTGGCCCCTGCTTTAGGGAAATATGACAGCTTCCGGGGACCCCGGCAAGGAAAGAGCCCCCTCTAAATGGGGGGTCACTGCAGTTACATACGCTTACTCTCCCTTAACATTCCCTCCAGTGCATCAGAAACCCTCAAAGGCGTTTCTCGAAGCAAATCTCCTGTTGTCTCCCAGAATAGTCTCCAGGGGAACCTCAAGATCACTCGTCCCCGGTTGGAACCCTAAAAAGGAGCTATCGAGACGTATGCATTCGAGGGTTCTTACCTGCGTCCTGGTCCGGCTTCCCAAGCCGCAGAAGCAGCCGCCGGTCAGCTCACCAACTACAGCCCCTCCAGCCTGAGGGACTGCCCACCTCAATGTCCATTGGCCAGGCGCCGGGCTACCTCGCTCTCATTGGTTACTTGCCAACGTGGAGGCGGGGCCATAATAGAATACTGTGTTTCTTTCCAACCCAATTCACTCCCTCTTCGCCGGTCCCCACCCCTCCTCCCATATTTCAAGGGATCATGTGATAGAAGAATCATGTGACACTCTGGACTTCTGTCTGGCGTTCCCAGTTCCCTGTGCTCTGCGCCTTCTCCCTGCCTCCATGCCTCCGGCAATCATCTGCAAGAGTTTGTCCCAGGAGAGTCATGGCATTAACTTTGGAGGAGGCTGCCTCTCAGGATATTAGTTCAGGTTTTAAAAGTGTTTACTGGCTGTCAATTTAGTACAATTGTGTATCCTTTGTGTAATCTATTCAGCAATCTAAATTAAGGTCACAGAAGGGTTGAGGCCAAAGAGGGGAAGATCCTCAACGAGATGGATAGACCCAGTGACTTTATGGGCTCAAGTATGTCAGAGATGGTCAGGCTAGAACAGGCTAGGGCAGATCCATTTTTCCTAGAGTTGCTATGGCACTTAACAACAGGCCTTTTTTTCTCCCTAGACACTCATGGCTGGCCTAGGTGAGGGAGGACAGAAAGGCTCAGAGAATAAACATATTGCATTGAGAAAATTCTGTTAAAGACCTCTTTAAAGTGCTAAAGAGGCAATATGTCAATTTAAAGGCTAACATGTGCCTGATCTAAGCCATAGTATTTCCAGTTGCTTCCTATATATCTGAAAGTTAGGCAATGAATAAGGAAGTCTGAAAAAGAATTGAAGGAGCTCTGGTGACCTAGTGACAAGAAGCTGCACTGCAATCCCAGAGGCGCGTGGTTCAAATCCACCAGATGCTGTGCTGGAGAAGGAGGGACAATCTCCTCCTGTATCAGTCAGATCCGATTTGATGGTACATACACACACAAAAAAATAATAAAAAAAATTTTAAAAGATATTAAAAAAGAATTGATGTCTTTGAACTGTGGGAGTTGGCAAAGAGTATTAAATTGAATATCCTATGAACTGGCAAAGAACAAACAAAGCTGTCTTGGAGAAAGTGCAACCAGGATGCTTCTTGGAGGCATGGATGGTGGGATTTAATCTCACTTTGGGCATGTTATCAGGAGGTGCCAGGCCTTAGAAAAAGACATGCTGGAGAAAGTAGAGGGTGAGCAAAAAGAGGGAGAATCTCACTGAGATGGATTGACATGGTGACTAAAACAATGGACTTGAACATGACACAGATCGTGAGGATGGTGCAAAATAGCCCAAAGTTCTGATCATCCAGTCTCTGTGAGTAGTTGACTCCACCTACCAACAGAAGATAAATAGGTAAGTTTGCCAGAAGGTGTTGAAAAGGAGATCCATTCTTCCTGGAGCTGTGTCTGGAACTAGGCCTGAGAGAATTTTAAGTAGTAGGGAGGGAGGGGCTGGGAGTCCCCTGGATGGTGTAAACCATTAAGCACTGGAGAGACTGAAGGTTTGAACCCACTGCCCAGATGCGCCTATGAAGAAGGAGCCTGGCAGGCTGCTGCTTCTGAAAAGTCACAGCCTTAAAAATAGTGTGAGTTGGAATTAACTTGATGACAATTGGTTTGGAGGAGAAGTTGCTAGAGGGAGCCAGTGATGGGAAGAACATCAGAACAGTAAGGGGAAGGGCAGGCATGTGACAGGACTGAACGTGCAGTTCATCATTGCATGGTAGGAGACGGGGCTGGGAAGTGGGAATGGGAGTACTTTCTACTTTGTGTAGACTTAGCCTTCCAGGAATTGACATGGGAGCAAGGAATGAGAAATAGCAAAACCAATTAGCCAAGGGCAGAAGCCAAAACTGCTTAGAGCCAAATGGCCTGGCACAGGCAGATGTGGGTGATGGGAACATGGCCCAGAAGAGAGGAGAAGCCCAGGAAAGTGCTGGCCCTTAATGGAAAGGCAATGGATAGAGTCCGAGTAGATGAAGGGGAATGAAAGCTGAGGAAAGGACTTGAGCTGAGAGTAGGTTGAGGGGATTGTTGTTACCAAGTCGTTCAGACACATAGTGACCCCATGTGCGCAGAGAGAATTGTGCACAATACGGTTTTCAGCGTTTCAGAAGCAGATTACTAGGTCTGCCTCCTGAGGTGTGTCTAGTGAGGAGTCAGACCTCTAACATTTTGGCTCATAGGAAAAAACTCCTAATATTGGCAACACCCAGGGACTCTAGGCTGGGGGTGAAAGGATAGTAGCTGGGGAAGAAATGACAGGGTTGTAGAATTGCTTCAGGGGGGGTTTTCGCCTGGGGCTA